CGCAAGCACCTTTTCATATTTCAAACAATGTTTGCAGACTTATGACACAATGCCGAAGGCACAGTATGACAGCATGCAAAACATCATGTATTACAGCATTGCAAGACAGCATGCTTTGGTTATTGTGGCTTGCTGAACACCATCTAATATGAAACATCAATTCAAGAGAGATAACTCTTTTTTCTCTTGTATTTTTCTTTCCTTTTTTTTTTTTTCTCTTTCTGGAGATGATGATGATGAAGAGGCTGATGAAGAACACGATTTTAAAAAAGGCATAAATTTAAATAGGGCATTAGACGTAAACAATTACATCACCAATTATCGGTGTCTATTAGGTTATTAGCCGGACACTTTCTAACAAATAGTACCCTATACTATTTGGCATTTGGGACTGCCGTTCTGAAGAGTGCCAGCAGCCAGTCATTATGCCTAATTTTGGCGCTGATACCCTGAATCATAATCATCAGGGATAGATGCAATACACCACTCCCCAGACATACACCTAGAAGTATAAGGTGCAATATCTGGAAGATACAGTGCGTGCCACGGATCTTGCTTTAGCCACAAATACTTCAATTAAATGTTAGTATTATTATTGAACCAACAGTGTCTTCACTGATGGAATAAATAGGTGGTCGGGAACTAACACTTTTGAGTTTGTTTCCTAGGACTTCCAATTGGAACTAGAGATTCAATGAGACTCAGGTTGTGCATCTGAGGCACGGCGACAGTGCCGAGACAAACTACTAAGCCGCAAGCTGTCAAGTGAAAAGTGTCAATAGTAAATTGGTTAAAGAAAAGTGTAAAGGCTACACAAGCGCTCAAAACAAATACAAATAATTAGTATTATTATTTAGCATAACAATACGATTGTTTACATTATTAATCTTTTATAACACTTCACAAATTAGGCATGTTATGCGGTGCCATACATAACCTGAATTCATTTCATTGTGGCGAACCCCAGGGTACGCTTTAGGCCCAAGCTTAGTTTCACCCCCATACTGTCACTCTGATAGACCTAGGGAAGGGGAAAGTAGAAATTTACAATGTCGATGGCTCCTGAGCGAAAGCGAGGGGCATGGTATGGAGAAGGGGGGGGGGGGGGGGGGGGGGTGGGGGGGGGGGTGGGGCTTATTGAACCCTACCACCAGTAATTTTTTGCTACACTAAAAATTCAGAAATGTATTTTGGTGAATACCCAATTTTATTTTTGCATTCCACACTAATCGTAAATCAAAAGAATGTAGATGTCTCTAGATCTAGTTGTGTTTAAACAAATACTATATTGTATGTTGTTACTACATACGCATGTTGATTTATAATTTATGTAAACTATTAGTTTCACTGACTACTTCATTAATAAATGAGTTATTTTTTTAATATTTCCTTACAAAAAGATGGCAATCACAAAAATCAAGTAAAGTAAAGTTTGAGTAACTACCTTTCCTAAATATTTCCAAGTGTTACCAGATACAACAAGAGAACAGATACTGATTTGCAGACAAGGTCTATAAATCTTTAATGTTTTTATAACTTGTATATGAATTGCCAAAATTATACCAATAACTAATTAACTACATTTTAGAGCGTGATGACATAATACAATTATCATCCTACCCAACCTTAAAAGTGGATGTCATTTTGTGAGGGCATAGAAAACATATTTCCAATATATTTGTCAATAAATAATAATCTAGGCTTTAGTAGCGATGAAAAGGTAGTTTAACATTGTCCCAATTTTAATACCGGTACGTGGAAGGTATCAATTACAACACTTTATAAAAGTTTTTGTTTTTTAAACGATATTTACTCTTTATTTTTGTTTAGGAACTATACCGTACCAGTATTTAGAGGCGAATGCTTCATCTAGATTCAGGGACGGCTCAAGGCACTGGCAACTCAGACAGTTGGGTCAAAACGAGCTTAGGGCGCCATCAGCATCTTGAAAAAAATGAAAAAGTATTGCATGCGTACACCATTAAAGAAAAATGAAGTTTACTGCCAAAAGGTTGTATGTCATACTACATAAATAGTATTTTCGTGCAAAGGAAGTGGCAGCAAAGTCACTGCTGACAAAGACAACCGCTTCCTTTGTAGGTGCATTAAGTTCTTTTATCAACCACGGCACCTGTGATAGCAGAGGTGATGGTGGTAGGTTTGTAGGCTTATTGCTTATCGGTAAACCTCTTTTTCAGTGACTTTGGTCGTTTGGTGGTGAAGGCAATAGGACTTTGTAGACCAGTTGCTAAGGAGGCGGAGTCTATGAATTTTCTGCTCATCGCAGTTTGTTATCCAATTTTGAGCTATACAGAAAAGTGCATATTCAGCGCCCTAGAGTAAATAAACTCGGGGCGATACCCCAATTTTCAAGGTTTAGTTTAATACTATAATACTGTAGTGTTTTCTTTAGACATTTTATATTTATGATGGCTAATTTATGCTTTACGAGTCCGCTGAGTTTATTTGACTGATTGAGCTCCAGGGTTAAGTCAAACAGTCCTAAGTCCTAAAAAGTGAAAACAATGCAGACTCAACTACTTCAGTCCTAAGTCAAACAGTGAAAACAATGCAGACTCAACTACTTGCGTCCTAAGTCAAACAGTGGAAACAATGCAGACTCAACTACTTCAGCCTTACTAGACTTACACAACTGCAGAGACCAGGGCTACGACAATATTTCCAAAATGAAAATGAAGGGAAAAAATAAATGAATGCAGACACTGATTTGAAGTAAAATCCACAGGGCTTTTATATGCCCTGTGTTTGTGATAGCCTAAACTTAGTTTTCGTGATAGTATAACAAGTTTTATTTGCCTGGAAGACACTTTTTTTTGGTACTGTTCAGCACATATTCATATATTAATATGTGTTCTGTTCTGTCTCTCCTGAAGATGGCATGCATTGAAGAATACATGAATTTACACATTAACTGCCTCACTGTAAAACCTTTATGTTATGCGAGACAAGAATGAAGATGGGAGTGCAAAAGTGCATGTATCAAAGACATAAAATATGAAATTACGGCAACAGCAGGAGTTCAAGAAGTTCTTACTTTGTGCAAACTTTGTCTTTACTATGACTATGAACTTTCAATAAACTTGTTCCATGTGTAGGATGTAGGGCCTAAAAATCTGTACCTGCAGGTACCTAAAAATTTACTATTTTTAATATTTATTATTGTAGCCGCTAAATAAACTACTAACTAGGAACTAAGAGTACTAATGACCTAAGACCTAAGACTACTAAGGACTAAGAGTGAGTGACAGTGACTGACAAAGAATTCAAAGATAAATCATGGTAAAATAAAACGTATTTATTATTTAAGGTCATCCATGTCTCAAGACAGAATGAATTTTTGACACTAATTAAAATAATTATCTGCATTAGCCTTAATTTTAATTAATTAAACTAATTAACTTCTAAGTACAACGGGGAATTAGCCTTAATTAATTAAAAAAAAATTTAACACATTTTGGTCTTAGTGCAGCTCTCCCATGAATGAATGAAAGAATGAGAATGCAACAAAATCAATTCATCGACATATTTGTGTCAACAACGCTTTAAAAACAGAGGAAGACAAAAATTGTAATGGAGAATAAAATGGTACACATATCCGACGTGATTTATCAGTTTACAAATTATGGTGAAAAGAATATTTGGTAGCCAGAATATTGGTAATATACCGCATGAGCGCTTGTTATGAAAAATCCTTCTTGTTCCGGTTTGAATGATTGTAAATATTGAAGTGCATAAAATGAATACTCAGATGTCATTAGTGACTAGTGAGATGAGATGTATAATAATAATAAATATAATTAATAATAATACTTATTTGTCTAATACTGAATGATGCTGAATCGGAACAAGGTTCTGGAGTGAATTATTATCAGTTTTCACTTCACTCCCTCACTGACTCAAAGTCAGGCGATTTAAATTTTAATGCAGTCATTAATTTGAGCAAATTATTGCTAAAAAAGAGAAATGATGCTGGTCAGCCTATTTCACATGACTCATGACAATGACATGTTAAATTGGCTCAATAATAATACTATTAATACACATCCATTGAGTTTGGGTTGACTCAATGGATGTGTAAGTGTTATAAAATTTAATGAATAAAGTTTAAATAAAGTTATGGACAGGTTAAGTTTAAGTAAAGTTAATTAATGAGACTTTAGAATATAGAATCTGGGTAAATTCGGAGAATAGTACCCGCGATGGCCGCCATCTTGGTTGACACAACCAGTTAATTGTGTCACTAAACCTATCCCTAAATTCTAAATCGATCCCTATGCCTAACCTGAACCCTAAATCGATCCCTATGCATGCTTAACCTGAACCTTAAATCAATCCCTATGCCTAACCTGAACCCTAAATCGATCCCTCAACCTAACCCTAAACCCTAATTCACTGCAACTATGGCGGCCATCACGAGTACCGTCCTCCGATTTAGCCAGAATCTGGTTGGGCTTGGCATTGTTTCATTGTAACTGTGTGTGACGTGTGTTGGAAAGGAAAAATTAAAATGACATGTCATGCAAGGATGTGTGCCTAGCCTAGCGTTTAGAGCCCTAGAACTAGAATAGAATATTAAACAGGAACGGAATTATCGTAAGTTCTGTTACTCAAGAATCATCCAACCTTAATTATTATTTATACTTAACATTGTGTACTGACTTTTGTTTCATTTAAGTTAGAGAAAACTTTTAAAGTTAGTTAAAGTATAAATATGTTACACCTGCATTGCCTACATAAATCCTTTTTTTTCCCAGTGGTTTTCCCTGGGTCCCTTTCCCCCTTTTCATTTTCATTTAATTCATCATCAAAAATCTAAAAGTAAAAAAAAAATTTCTCTTTAAATTAACTTATCTCTAACTAGAGTTATTTAACCTTAAGATATTTTAACCAGTGGAAGACGTCTGGCTAATTCTGGGAGTAATAAAAAAATAGTCAATTTTGAATTGTACTTACATTTATATTTGGTTGTATGACTTCCAGTTAAATAAATCATTTGTAAACTAAAGAAAAGTCAACACTAATGCTGATCATGGCACTGGGAAAGTCACAGTTTTCTTTGAATGACTGTAAAGGTAAAATTTAAATTAAATGTTTTGTTAAAAATATACACCTGTAATAGTAATGAGATGGACATTTATGATCTAAAAAATTGCAAGAGAAAAAATTCAGAACACCATCTTTGACTTGCCAAAAAACAAGATGACAATATAATCTTTTAAAAAAATTACTTCGAAAGAGTAATAGAATTATTTTTCAGTTAGGATAGTGATAAAACTTAAAACATTGCTAGCAAAATTTACTCTACTGATTATAAGAGAAGCATCACTAATTTTTTGAAGAATTAAAAACTGCTATATATCTGGGTCACATCACAATGGTGATTAGATTATAAAATTCTAAAAGTTCTCTTCACCAGCAAATATTTATTTTGTTGAGTGTAATTGATATTGGATCATTTTATTTTAACAGCTGCATTGCGAGAAATACTTGACACCTTCAACCTGCCAGATAATGCTGCCAAACTGGAAGAGGCTCGGATAGCTGCTGGCAATGACATGTTGAAGAGCATGCAGAGTGTGTTTCCTGCCGCCACCCAGATGCAGATGCAGGTCATTCAACGATTCGGCTTCCTGCCCGATGGAGAAGGTTGTCATTTTTATTTAACTAGTGTGAAAATAAACTTTTTTTTTTTGGTTTAAATATCAACATTACTGAATGCTATAAGACTTCTTCGTAGCTCTTCAACTCTCTTTCCTTACGGTAGTTTTAGAATGAAGCAGAGATATTTTAAAAAATTGTTCAGTTCAGTCCGTCAAGAAGGTGAAATGAAAGGGCCTTTTGTTAAAATACACATCACTATGATGCACAAAATGTGGACCATTGGTCTCAATCTTGGCACACCTACCTGCTACGATAGTGGGCTTAGATTTAGACCACAAAAATAGACCTGTGAATATGATTTTTATTTTTTTGATTCCCAGAAATCTATTCACAGTTGATTTTTAGGTCCATAGATGTAAGTTTCAGAATCACTGTCAAATCCATGTCAATCATATATACTTATTTCAATTTCTTAAAAAATAATGCAGTGTCTTTTTCTTCACTGAGCACTCTAGAATGGTTTTTGAAACGTTTTGCCATTGTTTCTATTTGTCAGTGGAAAACTGGATAAAACTTTGTAATTTTTTTTGTTTAATTTTCGAACTTCCAACCCATTCTGATTAACGTTTTAAATTGAATTTTTAAAACAAAATTCTAAGCATATATTCATATGATCATCCCCCACACCTATTTTCTACACACACAAAAAAGGACTGGTAATAAATAAGCCTTAGTTTGTTGCTTTTTTTGTATGTTCCTTTCACATATAAAATGTGTTTATATTTTTCAAATCAGTCTCAACTCTTATTTTGTTTTACTTCCAAGGTTTAGTTCAGTTCACTAAAGCAGTCCGGGTGTACGAAGAGCAGGACCAGGATGTGAGACAGCTCAACAACCAGCTGCGGCATTTCTTGATACCGCCTGTCAATGTGCCTCATCCCGTCGCCCCCATAGTCAATCAAAATGGTGGCAGCTAACACTGACATCACCGTATTGTAAATTAGTTTCAGAATTTTGTAAAAAAAAATTGGAATCTGTTGAAGTGTTTCTCAAGGTAACACAACATCTTGCCTAACTGTGTGAGTAACACACTAACTGACACGATAACTTGAACTATGAAAGTTGTACATTGTATGGCCAACCATTTACTCTTGTTGTTCGATTTTAAGTGCAGCATTTTTTGTAATCTATTTGTATGTCGATTGTGATTCTATATCTCATTGCAGTTAATGCTTCTCGACTTAAAAATTATGACTAAAGGATATTTGATGTGAACTTCCCCACTTAACATCCATTCTCAAGAGCTTTGGCAACTCAGGTAAAAGCTAAAAGACAATTGAGATGAAACATTTTTCTCCAGTTCTAAAGGAAAAGCCAACAGCTATTTTTTTAATTTTTTTATTCTGGTGTTTTCCAGACCCAAATTTTCATTTTTTAAAATTTTTTTTGTATTTTAAAAATATTTTCATCTGCTATTTAAAAATACAATTCTTCTTCTTTTTTTTTTTTTTTTTAATTCAAGTTTTTAGAACTTCCTCTCTTCACATTAAATTTGAGATGGGTTTTTTTTTTTTTTTTTGTTTTTTTTTTTTTTTTTTTTTTTTCTAATTCATGATTTTATAACTTTCTTTTATTATAATAAATATGAGATTGTTTTGTTTTTTTTTTAATGTCTTGTTTTTTTTTTTATATAATTTTAAAAGTGTCCTGTATCAACTGCTGAATATCCGCATAAAGTTCAGCGAATTGAGAACCTACGAAACAAAACTTATTAAAATGTAATATTTGTTGAACATATTCAATGTTAAAGCAAGTCTGTTTTGGACTACCGTATATTTTTTTGTCTCTGTTTTTTCTTCCTCTTTCAGCTTCTCTCCTTCCTCTTTCACCTTCTCTATGTACTCTGTCATGTTCTCTCCATCCTCTGTCTCCTTCTCTCCTTCCCCTTCTCTCTGTCCTCTTTTATCTTCTCTCCTTCCCTGTTAAAAAGTGGGTCACCACAAAGATAATGCCCAAAGTCATTGACTGGGTTCACAGATATTATTACCTCTGGTGAAGGGAGGGGGGCTATACAAAGCTGATCTTAAGGTATAATTGTCCATGCCCCATGTCATATTTCATTGGGGATACCTCAAGTTTTTCTCATTAAAAGAATAATTCAGTCAAGTTTTTTCATTAATAGGATAATTCAGTCAAGTTTTTTCATTAATAGGATAATTCAGTCAAGTTTTTTTCATTAACTCTCTGCAGTCCGACTATAGAGAAATGGTACTTATATGTACCATAGATTTTGTGGGTGGGTTATTTATTTTTTAACTTTTTTTTTTATTGAAAAAAATTATTTATTATATTTTAATAATTTGTTTCATTGGTTTAAGTATTTATAAAAAAATTAAAATTATTACAAAATTTGAAATTACTATTTAAAAAAAATATTTTTGGAAACTTATTCAGCGCGGAGTATCCCTTGAAAGCTTCGCAGATTTCCAAAAAAACAAAAAATATAAGTCTCACAAAAAAAATTAAATAGTAGTATGAATATTGTCAAATGATTTTAATTTCCCGATTTATCAAGGAGTTATTTGTTTGTCTAAAGCAATGTATCCAAATGGAGACTCTAATCATGAAATTTATCACGATTTGCATATAAAAGTACCGACTAATGCTATCGTAAACAAGTAAGTTTAATTTTAATTATTATTTCCCGACTTTAAAATTAATAATAAAACAATAAAGTGATAATTTTATAATTTTAATTGGCTGAAGTATATATTATCCATTTATACTTACATTGATATATTCTATTTGAATTATATTGAGTTTCAATAATTATATAATAAATAAATAGCGTCGCTATGCGAAATAAATATTTTAAAAAAATAGCGGAAAATTTCGGTCGATTGGAACTTGCGTAATTAAATAAATTTAAAGTTAAGGACTTCTGAGTTATTAACTAAATATATTTCTTTAAAATATGTTACAGCCAAGAATAATCTTCTAAATTTTCTAATATTGCATAGTAGAAATGTGTTTAAATTTAATTATCATTATCGCTAGTCACTAGTATTAGTAGAGACTACTGTCGGCAGAATAAAAAAAAAAACATTTATGTTTTTATTAAAAGCTCTCTAACTCTATTGGGAAGGAGGAGAGAGAGACAAAAATGCAGATATTGGATCAAGAAGCCCTTATTCCTTATTGATCCTAAATATTAAGCCTGGACTCCACCCTTTTACTGAGTTACAGAGTTACTGGATGAATATCTTTGAAGATTTTACCCTAAAAACAAGTGGTGGTAAGTTTTAATCTAATCACTTGGTAGCAAAATGCATAAAGAATAAACTCACAATATTGTTATAACATATGTTATAATGTATTTTCTATGTACAATGGTTTACTTTTATACTAATTTAGGCACTTGGACTAGGATTAATGGTATTTTCCCTTACTGATAGCATACCATTACTGATACCATTAGTGTTAATTTATTTATGAATCAATCAAATTTTGTTTTTCACAGGTTCTTTATTGAGTGAATATTCTGTGGTGAAAAATCTTACCTAATCTTATGTAGAAATCAAGTCCAGGACAAGCTCTTATTTATCAAATATAATTATTATAATAAAACTGCAGACTGTTTTAAGAAATAATATTTGTTCAGAGTCCATAAATATAATTAAGGAATACTGTACTGTAGTTTATCAGCCTGTGTTATGTGAGGATTATAACACAGATATATAAAAATGCCGGTACATGGGAAAAAATAGATCACATTAGTGAGGAATGGATCGTATTTGACATTAATATCAAAATTAGCATTATTGTACTGATACATTTTAATTTTTTTTAACTTTAACATCAGCGAATACCGCTATTTTAAAATTTAAAAAAAAAAAATTGACTCTTGTTTTGAGTTATTTATATATTCATCAAATTTTACTTAGTCATCTTTTACTCAAGAATTATTAAGAAATATATTTAATATACAAATCTATAAGCTATGAGACCCATTTTTTAAAATATATTACATACAAAACATAATTTTCATTAAAAGAAAAATTATAGTGCATTTTTTAGGAAAAAAAGACAAAATATAGGTTTTGCTAAAATGTTGACAACTTTTTGATTGTTCAAAGAATTTTTGTCATGTTTGACTATGAATTGTATAAGTTGATGAAGTATTTTATTTAAATAAATTTTAAATCTTTTATAACAAGGATTTTTTTTTTCCTTCATACTGTGTAAAGATTTTGTCAAATTTTTGCATAAAATGAAAAAAAATAATTCTCCAATAATGTTTCAACTATTTTTATAACTAAGAAAATAAAATATACAAAAAATATCTAATGATAGCTGAGTCAAAGATGAACAAGTTAATATATTTAACTGATCAGATCAGAGCTATTTCAGATCAGTTAATTAATTATTTTAAAAAATCACATTAGGATTTTTAAGAAATGTGAAAAAAACGTCAGACTGCAGAGAGTTAATAGGATAATTCAGTCAAGTTTTTTCATTAGTAGGATAGTTCAAGCACAAAATTCGCCAGTAGATGCTTAATGATAAAATTTGAGGGTTTTTTTTTCAATGAGGATATTTGATAATTGATTAAAAGACTGCCTGTTTTAAATGGACATTAAAACATTGGACATATGTAAGGTGCTTTTATAGCACATTAAGTAATGGGATTACGTAACAAGTAATGAAATTACATTCTGGTATATCAGACATTGACCTTAATCACTCCTGAGATGTTCCCCAGTAATGAAATCAATAAATCTCATATCAGTCCTGTTGTGTCCTACTTGACAATAGGACCTGACCAACTGAGCTGACTAACATTTCTTCATTATTTGGGGATGCAGATCTATACAACAAATAAATCAGTTCAGTATGCAGTAATGAGGTCAGGGTTTTATGTTAAAATCATCCCTTAGTTCAATGTGTTGTATATTTGCATGACAAATTAACTTAATACTTAATGTAATTTATATTGTACATGGTCTATAATTACTGTTTTAGTTATACAAATATATCAACTAGTTGAATTTGTAAAATGCTTGTTTCATTTGAATATTTGAGTGAAAGTCGCAATTTTTTGTTGAATTTTTTTTCTTCACGTTACAAATTGTAATTGTAACTTTTTGAATTGTTTTCTTATAATTTTGTGCAATTTTTTAAAAATATATTTCTGTTTCCAGATAGAATAAAAATATAGCAATTTTTCACTTATTTGTTACTTAATCACACATATTGGATTGGACTATGAAATAATGAAGACATTGAACAAGGTCAGGGTCGTGTTGTTTAATTTAAGTTTATTGTGCCATTTTAAAATTATTACATACACAATTAACATTTTTATAATATAATTATTAGATGGATTACAATAAAATTTGGATAACAAAATGTTTATAACTTTAAGAAGACACAAAAAGTCTTGGTAACTTGGCAAGAAATTGTTTAAAGTAATAAAATGTCTAGAAGAAAAGTCTAGACACTAGATGTAATGCTAACATATGCCATGTCTATATATGGCCATTTCTACCAACATTTTAATAACTTGAAGAAGACACAAAAGGCCTTGGCAACTGTTGGCGAGAAATTGTGTAAAGAAATAAAAAGTCTAGATGTGATGCTAACATGTGCCATGTATATGGCTGGCAATTCTACCAACATCTGTATAATAACTTCAAGAAAATACAAAAGGCCAAGGCAACCGTTGACAAGAAATTATTTAAAGAAATAAAACGTCAAGAAAAGTCTAGATGTAATGTTAACATGCACTTTGTCTATATATGGCCATTTCTACCAATAATTTAATAACTTCAAGAAAACACAAAAGGCCTTGGCAACTATTGGTGAGAAATTGTATAAAGAAATAAAAAGTCTAGATGTAATGTTCACATGCACCATGTCTATAAAAGTCTAGATGTGATGCTAACATTTACCATGTATATGGCAATTCTACCAACATCTGTACACGATCTTCAGAAAAATACAAAAGGCCAAGGCAACCGTTGACAAGAAATTATTTAAAGAAATAAAATGTCTAGAAAAGTCTAGATTTAATGTTTAACATGTGCCATGTAAAGGGCCATTTCTATCAACATTTTAGTAATTAACTTCAAGAAAACACCAAAGGCCTTGGCAACTATTTGTGACAAATTGTTTAAAGAAATAAAAAGTTTAGAAAAAATGTCTAGATGTATTGCCAACATGTGTATGGCCATTTCTACCAACATTTGAATAACTGCTTGAAGAGTCAACTCTGAAGTTAATTTCAACTAGTGTTTAACTACTACTAAGTTCTCATGTAAAGATCTGTGAACATATTTGAAAATATCACGTGTATCATTAAACAGTAGAAACTAATGTAACGTCTATACAATGCACATATACATTTTTTTATAGTAATATATCTTCAAACATACTCATTTGAAATGTATAAGATAAATGTTAAAATATGTTAACAAAATCACAGGTATTGAATTACAATTATGCATAAATCACAACAAAACCACAGGTATTGGATT